TGCCATTTATACTGACTGTTTTGCTACTATTTTCTTCATATGCACTCGTATCCCCCCTTCTCACTTGTCCTTAGCACCAGTTTCCTCGAAATCACGAAGTTTACGTGCTGACTGCATTTTTTTCCTAATACTCATTAAAATAATTACATAACTACTAGAATGAAAAGTACTTTTTGGGAAACCTCTACAATCGCCATGCTCACGTGAACTGCTCTTTGGGCAACAATGGGCTGGGTGTCCTCACTCTATCCGGAGACGCTCAGGCTCAGACAGGAGGCCTGCTGTTTGAGGTCACCCAGCAAGGAGCAGCAGAGCCAGGGCGGACCAGAGCTCCTGGCTCCCAGCCTGGAGCCTTGCCCTCCGTGTCCGCCCCGATGCAGTAATCAGAGGAGCAGGGGCGCACGGGATGGGCCCGCCTCTGGCCTTGACTCCGAGCTCAGCTCAGTGCCTAGGGAGCAGAGATGTCACTGGCCAAGAGAGCCACCAAATAATCACCCCCAGGGAGTTCTGAGCAGAACTTCAAGAGTGGGATTTAGCTGAGGGGGTCAGGGTTTCCTGGAGCCCTAGGGGCCCCCATCACGCCAAGTAGGAATTCCCTTTTGAACCTACAGAGCCTTGACCGGATGGGTAGGTCGTGCCGTACTAGTAACGACAGTGAAGTGAGTAAGAATAGCCAATACTCACCAGGTGCTTATCTACGTTCGAGGATTGTTCTAAGTGTTTTGTACACATCAACAATTTATTCCTTACAACAACCCAAGGAAGGAGGTAATCACCCCCATTTCACAGTGAGCAAACAAAGGCACGTAAGGCTTTAAAATGTGCTCACAGTTGCCTGGCCAGTAGGTGGCAGAGTCAGCATCTGCACCCAGGCTACTGGCTCAGAGGTCATGCTTTTAACTGCCCCCCGCTTGCTTTACTAAATGGAGGACAGATCTTAGGGGGAGAGTTTGGTGCAGGCCCTCAACATGGCAGCCATCTCCTGAGGAGCGCTTGCCACAGGCTAGGCCCTGGGCCATGGTACTATTACAGATGGTGGGGCTGGCTCAGAGGGGTGAGGGGCTGGCCAAAGCAGCCAGGTCCTTTCCAGCTTCGAGGCCCACACTCCGACACCCCCGCCTAATGGCTCCCCGGAGCCGGCACAGTCCCCTGTGCCTAGAGAGCAAACGGTCAGGAAGAGGAAGCGAAGCAAAGGTCTAAGCACCCCGCTTCTAGCCCTTCCATCACTCCAAGCTCTGCTTCGGCCTCAACTCCCCGCCCAGGGCGAGCTAGCGAGGCTGAGAGCTGGTGAGAGGCTCGAGCAGCTTCTGCCAACGCCTCCCGCCCAAGACACTGAGCCTCGCAGGGGGCTTAGGACGAGCTGTGTCCCTGGCAGCTGCGGCCTGCACCCCTGACGTGAGCTCATCTGTGGAGGGCCCATCAATTTCTCGCTACCAACGGCTCCACCGGGCAACTCCGCCAGTTTGCCCTGGAGCTAAAGGCTGAGGTATGGGCAGATCATGGCCACAAGCCTTAGGAAGTGGGGGAGCCCTTTATGGTTCTGAGGGAGGGAAGTGGCATGATCCTGAGAGAAATGATGAAGGTGTGAACTGGGGAGTGGCAGTAGGGGCAGAAGAAGGGGATGGATTCCTGAACTAGCTGACTCTTGTGCAATGTGGGAGTTATGGGCGCCGACCCCCCTTCCCCTGTACAGTTGAAAATCCACATATAACTTCCGACTCCCCCAAAACTTAGCTACTAATAGCCTGCTGTTGATTGGAAGCCTTACTGATAACATAAACAGTCGATTAACACATATTTGGCATGTTATATGCACTAGATACTATATTCTTAGAACAAAGTAAGCTAGAAAAAATATTAAGAAAACTGTAAGGAAAATACATTTACAGTACTGAACTGTAAAAAGTAAACATATAGGTGGACCGAAGCAGTTCCTGTTGTTCAAGAGTCAGCTGTACTTGAAGGTCAAGTTGGTGGGACTTTGTGAATGACTGGGCATAGGCATCGCAGAGAAAGGGAAGAATCAAGAATTGAATGACCTCCAGGTTTCTGGCTTGAACAAGTTGGTGGGTGGGGTTACAACCGAATCAGACAATGAATATAAAAGCCAATTAAAGATGAGCTTAATCTTGGACACGCATATTTTGACAGGCTTGAGGCACCCAGTGGAGGATCCAGCTGAGAGCCAGGTAGACAAGCCTGGAGCTCGAGGGTCGGGTCTGGGCTAGAGAGAGAGATTCTAGAGTCAATACCAGAAAATCACAAAGGAGAGCAGACTTCCAGGGAGAGTACTTAGACATTAAATATTAGATTGAGTCATGTAAGCTGGGAATGGAAGCCTGAGAAATAGCAAATATTTAGGGAGAAGTGAAGGGATGGTCAGAAAGGGCAAGGAGGACCAAAGAGGCAAGGTCCCAGAAGCCAAGTGAAGAATTTCATGAAGGAAAAGGATCACAGTATCATATGTAGTGGGGCGGGAAGAGAAGAACCAGGGACATCCTCTGGGTCTGGCAATTAGTCATCAATGACCTTGGCTCTGGAGGGCTTGGGGTGAAGGACCGAAAGGGCAGGAGGTGGACGTGAAGCCCATGGAAGTTTCTTTGTAGGGCAGAAGACCTGAAAATGTTAACAGGCTGAGAAGGACCAGGAAATAAGGTGAGGGTGAAGAGATGACAGAGGTCCCAGAAAGAAGGGGATGGGTGAGCTGGCTTTGAACAGGAGGGACATACTATTCCCAAGACCACAGCAAAGAAGACCAAGATAAGTATGAAGAAAAACTTGCAGAGGGGAGTAAGGAAGTTGAGAGATGGCACCCACTGGTCTTGATTTTCTTGAAGTAGCAAGGTAAGATCTTCTAGGGTAGGGAGAAGGGGAAATACAGGAAGGTTGCCTAATGACCTCCAGAAGGATTCACACCAAAGGATTAATGCTCCCCCACCCCCACCACAAAGGTAGGGAGGAGGTGGGGGGTGGAAAGCGCAAAACTCTAGTCTTTCATAAGCAGAGCAGAGCTGCCCAGGGAGGAGCAGAGAAGTCAGGCTGGGTTGTGGATCCATGGTTGGGATTTTGCTGGTGGATGAGTATGGTGCATACAAGGAAACAAAGAGTACAAGGGAGACGGGAGTGGGTCTGAGTGAGGAACAGAGGAGAATCCACCAGGAAGCGTGCTGGCCTCTCCCTGTCCGTTCCCTGCATGTCACTTCCCTTTGAGCCAGACGAGGATGAGTGCCAGCCTCAAACCATGGAGACTGATTCTAAGGCTCTAATCCCCGGGGCCAAACCAAACCAGTGTCTTCCAGATAGGTCCAATCCATTACAGAAGAGCATGTCTGGTGGGTTTGATGGGAAACACAGGATTTCTGAGCACGACACTAACATTCAGGTCACACCATATGAGATGGGATAGTGTGTCACTTCTGCTCTTTTCTGTCATCAATGGCAGGGATCCTAATTTCTGTTCCAGGTGACCAGCAAAGCAGTAAACTCTCCTTCTGCTGGGCCCCCTGTTCTTTCATCATCCATAGAAAGATGAGATACACTCTGCAGTTGTCTAAAAATCTATTTTTTGTGTGTGAGGTGAAGCATATTTAGATATTTGGCTACTAGGAATTCCTATGTAAAGTGAACAGTCATTCTAATTTTTTATATTAATTTATCTCCAGATATTTCGCTTATTTATGGTGACAACTGCTTGCTTCATATCAAATCCTTAAAACCACCAAAGCCTGGGTGGATCATCTGCAGGACTTAACCAAAACTCAGAGACACACAGGACTCAAGGTTTCCCCTAGGCGGTGTGGTTTAGTGGGGACCCAACAGCGTTAGACAGCCATTTCTGGATTGGTTATTCTCAACAAGTTAACACACCCATCTGCCCACTTTAGAAAAGACCCAATTTTGTCTGCCCCTTGAAGTGCACATAGCCCCATTGTGAAAGAATCACACTGCCCCCCGACCAGGCTTCGAGAGCAGTGGGTAGCCCTAGTGGGTGCTGCGTCTCTACCAGGCAGAGAAACACGGTAGGAACCAGGGCTGGCTCCTCTGCCTGGCCTCCCATCCAGGGCACATATAGCTCCTGTCAACCCCACCGTAAACCTTCATGCTGGCTCAGCATATCTGCGCCGGATCCCACAATCATTCTGGTCCTTTCTCTGCTGTGTCCCTCACTTGCTTCCCAGGCCAACTCCCAAGTCTCTGCTCTTCCCGGAAGCCCCATCTGCATGTTCACCCCCTCCTATCCCCTTTAGTGCTCGCACTGGACTTTGAACTTGGGCAAATCTTGGCAAACTGAAATCCCCACCTCACGTTTGTTCTCCTGGCCCCCACCTCTCACCAAGAACCAGCATGGGGCTCTGCACACAAAGCTTCTCAATACCTGTTTGTTCGCACAACCCGAGGGCAGAAACTTCAATTAGCTCCCCTGGTCCCTCTAGGTGCACTGTTTCTGCGGGGTCTTGGATGCAGCCCGCGCTGCACTTGCCAGGAGGGCATGGGGGGCCCCTGATGGTGCACACATTTGCTGCTCCCAGGCAGTTCTGTTTTCCTGGCTGCCCCAGCCCCTCTGAAAAGCTGTGGGTTTTCATCAGGGAAAACGTATGGATTTTGCAGCAAGCACTTTTTACTGCATCTGTATCTCTATCTGCTGATATAGCACTTTGTACTGTATCTGATACTGACAGCAGGCCCTGTTCAGAGTTTAAGGGGGAATCTCCCACAAAGATGAAACACAAATCAAATCTCAGGGTAACTGCCCAGGGCCTGTGGATAGAGCTTGTGAGGAGCCAGTCCCCACCCGTCAAGCGAGCAGGAATCCTGGCGAGCCCCGGGCCTCTGCCTGGAGCCCCCGTGGGCCCTGCCACAGCCACCGGGACTGTCTAAGCTCTGCTTCTCTGCACGGACCTAGTAAGGACCACGTTCTCTGTCCCCTCTCTGGGACGCAGCGTTTATCAGATCACTTGCGAAACACTCCCAGCTCTCTAGATGTCTTGAAATCCAGAAAGTGAGAGAAATCAGACAATTTAATGATGGCTTCCTTGGTCTACAGACAATGGAAGGACAAAACATTTCTCTCCATGCACTGGTACAATGAATCAGAGACGAGCAACAATCCCAGGACAGGCGCTGGGGTATTCAGACCCACTGCTCGGCCTCCCGGTCACGTGGTCCCACCAACCGTGTGGCTCAGCGACTGCAGACCTAGGGAGGTGGGGGGACGGCCTGGCCTCCTGAGGTGGGAGTGAGGGGCCACAGGCCACAGGGAGCAAGGTGCAGCGGCACTGTTGTGCACTGGTGGAAGGGTGTGTGTGTGGGGGGGTGGGAACAAGTGTCTGGGTGTGCCCTGAAGACAGGGCAGCTCAGTGGCGTCAGCTGCCCCATCAGAGCCGTCCTGAGGGCTGGAAGCAGGCTGAGCTGGGGCTGAGGTATCGGGGTTGGGAGGAAGGTGGCCAGAAGTACCAGGCAGAGAAGAGGCACATGCTGACTGCTTCCCTCCCACAAACTGAGTTCTTGATGACCCAGCTCCATCTTGCAAAGGGTAAGGACACTCCCAAGATTTGGAGCTGAAGGGGTGGCCAGGGGTGAAGTAAGGAGGTACAGACTGTTCTAATCCTGAGGCCACCTGAAGCGTCTCCGCTCTGTTCTGGCCTGCCACCCCCTCCCCTCAAGCCCGAAGACTGGAGCAGGCAAACCCGAGATCAGGGACCCCACCACTCTTCCCAGATTCCATCAGCAGGTGACACCTTTTCTAAAGAGAGGGAGGAGAAGGAAAAAGGCCATGGGCTTCTAAAGAGAAATCCTGGGAAGGGTGGCACCGAGGGCTGGGGAAGGGGCCTCTGGCTCCGTCCAGCCCTGGAAGCTGGCAGCTGTGGCCTCTGGTCCTTGACCCAACCTCGCCGGCCCACCTAGCTGAGCATCTTGTGCCGATCGAAGACTGTCTTGCGCTGCTCCTGCACCTGCAGCTTCCACCGCTGCTGAGCGCCCTCCACGCGCTCCAGGACGGTGTTTGCTCGAGGGCCCCCCAGGGAGGCAGTGGTGGCACCCACAGAGCGAGCATCCTGCAGGGGGAAGAAACAAGAGAGAAGGTTCAGCACGGTGAGCCAGGGTGGGTCTCGGAAATCCGACACGGAAAAAATGCCCTTACAGCAGTCCCAAAGGCTGAGCTCCCCCGCCGCCCAAGGCTGGGAGGCTGGACCTCCTCGACGGCTGGGGGCGGCTCGAGGGCCTCGCCCAGTGCACCAGGCCAGTGGCAGGCTTGGTGTTCAGACAATGTGTAAGGCGCCCTGGGAAAGGGGGCGCTCTGGGAGGAGCATGATCTAGGGCCCCAGTTACCACACAGCTGTAGTTCAAATTGGGTCCCTGATTGTACCCCACTGGCCGATTTCTAACCCTCAGGAGGAATACTGAGTGTTGGCCTCAGGACCTCACGGGGTCAGCGCAGAAGCCCTGATGCCCTTTGTGGCTTGAGGAAACGCATTGGTGAGTGCCAGGGCGGGCACCAGGCTGCAGAACCCCCCCGCCCTGCCAGCCACCGCCCAGGGACAGCAGGAAGACCCAGGTGCTAGGGCCTGGCTGCCCGGGGCAGGGAGCACATGGGTGCCAGTGGGGAAGATGGGCCCACCGAGGAGTGTGCACAGACACTGCTCTGCCAGGGGCTGGGACACCCAGCCGACTGCCCCCAGGAAAGAAGGCATGTCCCTCACTCAGGGAGTCTGGCAGGGATGTAAATCCACCCCAGCACTCCCATTCCAGAGCCTGCCCTGGCCCACTCTCCTCTGACAGGTTAGGATAGCTCAGCTCCTCCCCTGTGTGCCCCGCTGATCCCCTTCCCCTCTGCTCTCAGAACCGTCAAAGGCAGCAGCTCCCCTAATTACCACCTCTCTGCCTCTGAAGCTCCGGAGCCCATGCATTTCCTGCAGGACCCCAACCTGATCTTTGGGGGGAATTAGAGCCGAGGGCCAGGCCCACACCCCCATGGGGATTTCCTCCCTCGCTCTCCCTGCCTCTCATCTCCTGCCACACATCTCTTAAGGGATTAGCACACCTCTCTTAAGCCCAGAGCCGCCCAGTAAATGCAACTTTGCTTCTAATGCCCCGCGCTGGCACGGCTTCTGTCGCCTCGCAGCTGCAAGGCTGGGGAGAAGGGAGGGGTGGGTGAGGCGACGGGAGGGGAGGCAGAGAGCTGGCAGTTGCAGAGAGGTGGCCGGCTAGGGGTGAGGCTGGGAGGCAGTTCACTGTCGCCACAGAGCTGAGTCACTGTCTCGTGAGGGACAAGGCCTCCCCGGGGGGCCCGGGTCCAGGACCCTGAGGAAGGCTTCCTGGGCCCGCAGAGCTGCCAATCCCAGCGACACCAAGGACGCAAGTGCTGACGGCCTCGGGCAGGGGGCACACTGAGCCCAGAGTCAGGACTCCTGGGTTCTAAACTGGGCTCCGAGGGGCCATCTTCTCCCTGTCTCAGGTCCCACGCCCCCCAGCCCCCCAGGGGGCCCATCTCGGAGGCCTACAGTGGGAGCTGGGACAGAGCCACCCGGCAGCTTTGGGTCCCTGGACAGGTGACTATTTCTCCCAGCTTCAGTTTAACAAGCCAGTCTTTGCAGACTTTTTTGACTGTACTGTCAGCAGAAATAACATGTACCTCATGACCCAGTGTGTGTGCACAAACATAGGCATAAGCAATAAACAAGTTTTATAAGACACTTAAGTATGAGGCATTCTGGTATTCTTTGCTCTGCTCTCCTTCATTTTTTTAAAATGCTGGTTATGACTCACAACTGATTTCATGACCTAATGGCTTGTGACCCATACTCTGAAAAACAAGGTTTAGGATGAGTGGATGGGTACGGCAAGGTTAAATAAAATCATACATATAAAGTTCTTAGTACTCTGGCCATCACAGAGTAGGAGCCCAAGAAACGTTTCGTTTTCTTCTTCCCTGGCAGTTCCGCTCAGGGGTTGAGAACACCGTGGAATCAGACAAACCCAGCTCTGAACCTTGGCTCTGACACCTACCGGAATAGGAGCCGGGCAGGTCCGCTCACTCTCGGAACCTATGTCCCTGTCCGTGAGACGGGGGCGGCAAGAGATGCCTCTTCATGAGACCCTGAAAGCAAAGCCTTTGGCGGCGCCTGGCAGACAGCAAGTGCTCAATTCACAGCAGACACTAGAGGCCTCTGGGGTCTCCGAGGCAGGAGAAAGGGGGAGAGAGTTGGCAGACTGCTGCCAGAGGGAGCTGACTTTGAAAAAGGACCACGGCACCACACCACTTTTCAATGCCGTCCCTTCCTGGTTCAGCTGCACCAGCCGGCTGCTAGCGGGGGCCAAGGCCAAGCCTCCAGGTGGCCGGGTAGGGGAGATGGGCACTGAAGCCCCACTGGGACCTGGCTGTCCTGGTTTCGGGGGGGCCCAAGGGGCTTCTCTCCCTCCCCATCTCTCATCTTGTCCCTTCCGGGGCCCACGAGGAGTGCCGGGGTGTGAGCCCCGGAGGCAGGCTTGGCGGGATGGGCCGGCCTCAGCCCAGCTTCTCGTTGAGGGCTCTGCAGCTCAGAGAACGTCTTGAGGAGGGGAAGGCAGAGGAAGCCAAGAGCAGAGCATTAAGGGAACATGCTGAAATTCACCGCATGACCACAGTATCATTTGTTTCCCCTTCATGTAAAGTCTTAACAAACAGCTCCTAAGTGGGGGAAAGCTGCTGCTGAGAGGCTCCGTGTTTCCACCGCTAATAGTCTGATTAAAAGGTATTAAAGCTTCCACGTCTGTTCTAGAGACGGGCCCAGATTGGGGCCTCATTCTTGCCTGTTCTGGGGCAGAATGGCAGCTGGAGGTGGGAGAGAAATCACACCATTTCTGGCCCCTTCCCTTTGAGGCAACTCAGGGAGGCAGGAGGGCAGCCACGAGAGGAGGAAGGTGCCTGGGTCCCGACGGGGTGCCAGCGGGCGCCTGGTGCGACCAGACTAGCATGGCGATGACAAGTGTCACTGTGTGCCACGGGCTCTGTTAAGTACTTTACGCGGATTCTCCCCAGGCTTGGGGGTACTGGGTAACATTACTCCCATCTGCAGACAAGGAAACTGAGGCCCAGGTCACACAGCCCTGTGGTGGCTGAGTGGGGGCTGGAACCCATGTCTGTGTTCTCCTACCCCAGCACTCTGCTGGCTGCTTCTTTGGCTGGTTGCTCCTAAGAGGAAGCCAACATGGAAAGACAAAGAAGCAAGCCGGTATCTTTCCACAAGATCAGAGTTAAGCACAAAGCGCCAGTAAAGGCACCAGGAATCAGGGACCTCAGGCCAGGCTCTCCTCTCCGGGCCTGGGAGGCCCCAAATCCTGGTGTGCACAGGCCAGAGCTGACGACCACCATCAACGCGGCCCAGAGGAAAGCTCCCTGGCCCACGCAGGAGCACTGGGCTACGGACAAGCGGACAGAGGAAAGGAATCCCCACTTAGAGCTATGCTCCGTCCACCCTTCCCCCAGGCCCGGGAGTGGGGGTTAGGACAGGCAGTGCTGTCACCTACCCGGTCACGCAGCTCGGAATGGCCCGGGTACAAAGCCCTTCCGAAAGGGGACTACATGGCCACCCTCAGTTTTCCAAGTTTAACCCAAATCCTTCCCGCTGTAGCCAAACCCCGCCACTTCTCTGCTGTAAAGCTCTCCCTGACTCCCACTTGCTGCCAGCCATGGTCCTAGGACATCCCATAATGCCATGCCCCCACGCAGACATGCTGCCTGCTGACTTGGCTACTCAGACAGAACCCATGTGGGTACAGCATCAAGGCCTCGGGGCTGGCTGAAGCGCACACTCCCCCATGCCCCCCAGCCCTGCAGCCACCCTGGTCCACATGGCAGCCCCTCACTGCCTAGCCTTTGCTTGTGCTGCTGCCCCAGGCCTTCCCTCCAATAATCACCATGCCACTGATGTGCTCAGACCGCACAGAAAGGTCTCATCCTTAGGAGTGAACAAATACTTGTCAAACTGGTGCACACATTATCACAGTGATATTGAGGTTAGAACAATTACAGCCATTCCACATGGAGAAAAGTACACTAAGAGATTATGCGTCATGGCTAGTAACTGGCAGAGTCGGACTCCGACCCAGAGCTATGGTTCCAAAGCCCTGCTCCTGACAACAGTGCTGGGAGCCTCCCACTGGACGCTCTAGAAATGGCTACTGCATCCCACACTCTTCTGTCCGCCCCCAAAGAACTGTCCCCATCAGTGTGTCTTCTTCACGTGTCTCCATCAGCCTCCCAGGGCCAGGGCCCTCAGCTGTGTGCTGCCCGACCATCCCTGCAGAGGAAGGGCGGCCGTCCCAGGGACCCTGAACCTTCTCGTCACTCCGGCTCCTTCACGGCCCCAGGTGCCCTCATCATCACCACCATTCTTCGGTTCCCCATATGTCCCTCGTGCACCAGGGGCCCTGAACTGCACCCAGCCCCCGCGGGCTGAGATCTCTGAGGACCCCTCAGAGCCCAGGGTGCCCACGCTGCGAGTAGCAGAGACGCCAGAGCCGCGTGGAAATCCTTATTTCTCGCTCTTCAAAGAGGGCCAAACCCGTACATTTAAAAAGCTCTGTTTGCCGTTTCTGTCCCAGCAAACATGCTTGCTTCCTCCTTTCAAAGGGTGTCTGAGCCTGGGGATTAAGTCTAATGCTGCCAGAATCCTAGGGGAGGCAGTGCTCAGCAATCAGGGACCACTGAGGCCTGCCAGCACTTTCAAAGAGAACACGACAGGCTTTCATCTCCCTCCTCGGGGGCGCTGGGGCTGGGCCTGTGGGGGAGGCCTCCCTTCCTCTTCCAGACCTCTCGCCCTAGGGCAGGAGAGCTCCTGGCTACAGGAATTGGGGGAATGGAGCCAAGAGCCCCCAAACCTGGGAAGTGATCCAATCCCCAGATCTCATCTCTGATTGGATCCCAGACTTGGTGGCACAGAGCCCGGACAGTTTCCTCCCCAAGGTCATTGAGTTATGGGGGCCTAGGCAAACTTCCAAAGAACCTGAGAGGTCCCGTTCCAACTTTCTTCCTTTTGGAGTGAAAGCTAGATCCCTTACCCCAGGGGAGACCCCATCCTTCTTGCTTCCTTCTTAAGGGAAACACTCTCCAAACCACTAATACCCCAGAGACACAGCTTCAGCCCTGGCTCTGCCACTGTTTGGCCAGGTGGCCTTGGGACCTGCTCTCCTTGCCCCCCACCCCCACTCCCTGCCCCATGTGCACTGAGAGAGGTGGGTCAGCAGAGTCCCCCCCACCATCCAAGGCTGGGACACTGGGTCTCTGGAGAGACAAGATCGTTGGCGCTGACTCCACTGTCCCTACAGCAGCTGAGCTGTCACTCTCCCATGTGTCCTCTGAGCTGGCTCGAAGACCCCCTCTGCCAGGAAGCCTTCCTTCCCAGACTAACAGGAAGAAGAGAAGTCCCCAGCCCCTGTCTAATAAAGAGCTTGCCAAAGTACCTAGCTTTCTCCCTGACTGCGATCTCCTAACACCTGATCTCACCCACTCCTTTATGGCTCATTCACTTGGCTTGGACTCTGTCTTGGGGCTTCAACCGCTGAGGGCAGACATGACCTCTGTAAATCTACACAGTGCGGCCCATAGGAGTTGAGAGGCCAGAGGGAAGCAGAGAAGCCCCGGGCATGGGAGAAAAACGGAGCTGCTGAAGCCCCAGGAGGGATGACCTAGGAACACCTAAGTTGGGGGCACCTCACAGAATCATGAGGTGGAGGGATGGGGAGCCGGGCCAAGTGCCGAGACTAAGAGGCAGTGCGTGCTATGGGTGCTGAGCAGGTGAGCAGACCCCACTCACAGCTGCCCCAAGGTATTCCCTTAACCACCCTCCAGGTACTAGGGAGCTGCACTCTGTGCAGAGATGGCTATAGCTCAGGTCAGGGCATCAGAGACTGACCACCTTTTATTTCCTTCTAGAACGTTGGGGTAGCAGGTGAGGGGTGTCATCCCTCCCACCTCTCTCCCAGGGCAGGAAATCTCCCCTAGAGTGTGTAGCGTGGGCTTGCCAGCTTCAGCTTCAGAGCTGCCTAAGGCACCCCACTGCCTCCCTAGGCCCCCAGGGTACGTGGCCAGAAAGCACTTCCTCATAGGGCAATCCTCCTCACTCGGCCCAAATCTGCACCCAGGGAATATACACCCTTGGATTAGGGATCTGCTCTCAGGAACTGGTTGGCCACATCTAACCCCCCTCTCCCCTTAAAGCCCCCTCACACAAACAGAGACACCTCTGACTTACGCCTCAGAGTGGGAAGCACCCCGGGTCTCCTGGGGGAGAGGGGTCTGGGCCTAGACCCAGAGATGGCAGGCTGCCCTCCCCTGTGGCACCACATCCAGGATGGCAGGAGACACAACAAGGCCATGCCTGAGAGCCATGCATTCCAGAGAAATCGTAGCACGGGCTGTGTAATCACGGGGCTGCATCTCTCAATTACTCCCCCAGCCAGGACTGCAATTACCACATTACCCCTAATCACCAAGTGTTTATTACCGATGCCCCTCCCCATCAGAGCTGCTATTACTGTACATTAATAACCAGGTAGGCACGCAAGGCTTCCTCTTGAACACAGACCACCCAACTGCCAGGGCCGCCACCTCCCAGGCCCCAGCTCCAAGAGGCGAGGCTCATCCTCTCTGCTTCCCCTTCGGCCACACTCATGTCAGCGGGAGACTGGGGCAGACTGGGAGCGGTCCAGCCACATACCCAGGAGAAGCAAGAGGGCCCGTGGGGTGGCCAGGCCTCCCTCCTTCCCCGGCCTCGTCCTCCTGTTTATGCTGGCCCAGACCCACAATGCCCCGTGGCTGCACACGGGGATCTGAGCCCCGGACCCTCTTGGCGGGGGGGAGGGACCCGTCCTTTCCCATCTCCAACCCGGTGCTGGACATGTTCTAAACTGTGACCACCTGGTGGCGGTTTAGCCGATGCCTGGTGATTTCCAGTGACCCCAAACACACTTGCTTACGAGGGAGCCCACCCAACCCATTATCAACTGTGTCATCTGCAAGAAGACTTCTTAGATCGTGTTAAATCTCCCTCTCCTAACTCCCAACTATGGGTCCTTGTACCGCTGGCTTTACCGGGGGTGAGACTAAGCTCTCTCCCACCAACACTGGAAGGCTGCTATCATGTATCTCCTTGAGTTTGGTTTGGTTTTTTTTTTTTTCAAGCTCAACACCTCCCAGTTTCTTCAACTTACTCTCCCAGGACATGGCTGAGATGCTTCACCGTACAAGCCCCTTTGTATGTGTGCTGGTTCCCGTACTCCATCCCTCAGTCTGGAATACACAGCATCTTCCAGCCGCAGGGAGCACGAAGGTCAGAGCTGACAGACTGCTCTGTGCCCTCCGCAACTGCCCGGAGTAGTACCCCCTCAGGGTAGCGCAGCGGCGAGGCCTGCCCTGCCTTCGCATACCATCGCTCTGAGGCTGCCGTGGCGGCTGTGTGGTCCCACAGAGGGGTAGCTCTGGGCACAAAGGATGAGGAGACTCCCTGGGAGAGCGCGCTGGCTCACCACACCCCTGCTGGGCCAGCCGCACACGCGCACCACCTCTCACTCCCACCAAGAGCTTCCTCTGCAGGGCACCCGTAACCCCTCAGCATGGGGACAGATGGAGGAGGGTGACAGTGGCTGCTAGCCATGCCAGACCTGGCCTAAGCCCCACCAACCCTGACCTGAGGGGTTCGCAGGCTGCCTGGGGTCAGTGGTTCCCTTCATTATCTAATGGCGTTGAAACTCCTTAGCCTGACATTTGAGGCCAATGACAATCTGGTCTAAACTTACTGGCCAGCTCTATTTGCCACAATTCCTACATGCCTACCTTATCCTCGAAATGCTCCAAATTCCTCAAGCACCTCAGCACCACTATCTACCTTACTACTCACTGGCCCTTAAAATCCTCCTTTTCCCTTAAGGTGCCCAGGTTGTGCTTTGCATCGAGCAGGCACTCAGCAGATGTCTACAGAATCACTAAAGAATAAACGTGCTAGCTCCAAATCTACCACCCACTTGACACTTGCTCAGTGTCTGAGCAACCAGGATATGGTGTGCGTCTACACATGACTGGCCCTGGTTGGTCCACTTCCCCTCAGCCCGGAAAGGCAGCACAAGGCAACATATGCCCCCGCCACCACCCCACGGCTCATGCATCCAGGCTGATGCCAGGCATCAGGAACACTGCAGGGCCACCTCCTGCTTCATGTGGAAGTGCAACAGGTGGTTCCCTGCTGAGGAAAACTCTGGAGTCTGGGTGACGTGTAGGACACTGAACAGGAGAAGAGCAAATTGGAGCATGGGGGGTGAGGGACATGGAGCCCCACCTAGGCCTCCGTGATGCTCTTCTGGTTCTGCCCTGGGGACTCACAGGCTCGGAGCCCAGGGCCCCAACACCCAAAACCCCAGTTACCTCATTCTCCTCCTCATTGTGCAGATGTTCGGTGTACGCATCCGGCTTTCGAATGAGAGGGTCCACCAGCATCAGGAAAGCCATGTAGAGCAAGAGGGCCCCCACCACTGACAGGTAGATGACAATGATGACCTGAGGGAGAGAGCCAGCCGGCCCTGTGAACCAACACCCCGGGCCAGGACGGCCATGCGCGTTCTGCGGCGACAGGGGTTGCCTCGAGCGCCGCACTGGGGAAGGGCCCGGAGGCTGTGGGCTTGCTGGCAAAGACAGAAGGGACAGGGGGCCCTATTCCACATATTTGCCAGCTCTGCCCTAAACAGAGGGGATCCCACAAGAATAGCGGACATAAAAACAACAAATCATGAAGGAAAGCACCTGGATCCTGACACCCCAAGAGGCTCCCAGGGGTGCAGAGTGCGGAAGCGGGGCCTACCTGGCTCTCTCTAAGAAAGGGTGGAAAGCAATGGGACACAAAGTGAGAGCAGGGAAGGACCGGCTGGTGGAGAGGCCTGAGGCTCAGCCCCAGGGCACGAGGGCTCCCTTCCCACTGCCAAGGGCGCGCGGACAGGGGGGAAGGTCCAGTCCCGAGAGGGCACGCCGACTGGTGGAGGGAGACAGGCTGGCGAGAAGGTGTGCCCTGAAGGCTGGAGGCCACATCTCCCCCTCCCGTCAGTCACCCTGCATGGAGGTGACAGCCAGTGACAGAATGACAAATCTCTTTCGTACACGGAGAGGCTCACAAGCTGCAGTAACTTCCATCTGACAGAAAAGACAGATTCAGTGAGGCTAACTCAAGTGTCTCCCAGTGTGGTGCTCTGGACTCTCCACGCCCCCCAGCAGCCACGGCGGCGTCACTAATACACCTGTTACTGGGACCACAGAAGCACCTTCACTGGTGTCCAAATACCCGCTGGGCAGCCAGCACTCACCTGAGAACCATGACCCTAGGTCCCAAAGTTAGCAAATGGTAGAGGTTTTTAACCTGAACTCAGATTTACTGACTCTGGCTCACACGCTTTTGCTACTGGCACAACGCCTGGCTGTCACTGGCTTCTGATCCCAGCCTTGGCCCCAAATGGACTGTGATGAGTGACAAAAGAGAGAAACCTTGGGATGTTCAGGTCAAAGCCCAGCTCAGTCAAAGGTCAAGTTCAACTGGACCAACTTCCTCCCTGACTGGAGCACCAGTGTTTATGCCTCTTTAAACAGGGCCAATGGTCAGACCTCTTGCCTGTACCCCGGGAAGGGCAAGGGGAATGGAGGCTGAGTGTCTAGCAGGCTGAGGCTGAGGGGTGGGAGGAGCCTCCTAGGGAGGAGGACTGGAGGGAAACTTGAGGGATCAGGAAGTGTGTCTGATGAGGGCCCTGTGTCGGGAAGTCCCTTTCTGCCAAACAGGGAGAGGCGACACCTGGCTCAGCACTGGGTCTCAGCCATCTGGTCCCCAGAGGGTGGGGGCCCTGGAGCATGTTCAGAGCAGGAGAAAGACGCTCCAGGAGGGGCTGGCTCAGGCGGGAGGATAAAAGGAGTTGAGCCTGCACAGCCTGATGGGGCGAGGACTGAGAGGTGGGGGACAGACAGCTGCTTCCCATCAGAAAGGTGAGAACACGGGAGGACCGCAGGACTGGGAAGGAGCTCCCAGCTCCCTGGTCTGGGCAAGACAGCAGGGAACATCACCTCCCTTCCTGAGCCTCAGAAGGAGAAACGGGATGGACTAGGCAATGCCGTTAAACTCCTCAATTCCTTTCTCGATGCTATTTCTAGACTCTCCGTAGGACCAGCAGAAGTAAGCTGAAAATCTGGCCAGGAAGAGCTTAAGTCAGAAATCGGGACGCGGGGCCTGGCTCAGGAGTCATAACCTGGACTAGGAGACCCCGGGGGAGGCTCCGGGTGGATGAGCCCCTGCTAGCGTGAGCTGCGGTCCTGTGGACCCCGTCTAGTGGCAGAAGAAAGGACAAGGCCCCTGCCCTCACTTGCTATGGTGGTGGCCGTGTCTACTGTTTCTCTCCCAAATTCACCCAACAGTCTCTGAGAACGAGGTTCGGGGCCAACGCCCCTCCTGCCCAGGTGCCACCACGCAGACACCTAGCCCTGATGCACAGCTCTCGGGGGGCTTTTCAGGAGTCTGAGGCCACTCTGGAAGCTCAGTTAGACTGGGTGTTCTGGGAGGGGGGGCTCACTGTTCTATTAGCAGCACCCTGCATGTTACCCAGAACATAAAAGGCACCTGAAAGAGGCTTACTGAATGAATGAAAGAAAGAAGGGGGAAATTGGAAAGAACAGGAGGAAAAAAGTGACATGAAGCACCTCTCCCAGGTTCCCTGGCCCCCATGCAATGGGAGCCACTAGACAGATGTCAGAAGACAGAGCTGGCTCCAAGAAGGTGTGGGAAGCAGGCCCCTGTGTCTGTGACCAGGCCAGCCCAGAAGCCAGTCCCATAGCCACTTGGAATGTTCCAGAATATAGCAAAAGATCATGGGTGCCGGGCAGCCAGGGAGCAGGGTGGGCCCGAGCCCCGAGCCCCAGGCTACCTTGATGGTGGTGGTGCTGCGCTCCTCGTACTTGCACTCACACAGCAGGCAGTAGGCCTCCACGTCGTGGCCGGGTACCGGCATGGGCTCCACCACGTGCAGGCAGTTGCTGGAAAGAGACAGATGGGGTGGTGGGAGCAGGGCCCCCGGCAGCGGGCAGCCCGGGAGGGGAGGGCGGGGCAGAGGAGAAGGGGCTCCCAGGGAGTGGGGAGAACCCCCTTCCCAACCCACCAGCACCTGGCCCCGGCCCACCCGAACCAGCTCTCTAAAGCGCACCTACGGTGCCGGCACCAAAAATGCCAACATTTCCCAAACTGCTGCCCTCAGCTGCCTTCCTATCTCATGCCATGCACCCTCCCCACCGCCCCGACTCCCATGGGCTCATTCAGTCCAAGGATTTCCAAGTCAGAGCTGGGGAGGCCCAGACTGGAGTCTTAGACTTGAATCCCTAGTCAGGACCGCCCCCGGCACCCTTCCATCCAGCTGCCCGCTAGTCACCACAGGAGCGGCCCACAGGGACGCTCCACGGCCACCCTCCCGTCCCTCTGCCCCAGCTCCCTGGGCCGTGTCCCCAGTGGCACAGAGCACCCCTACCATCCACTCCGCTGACCAGGTCCAAACCTGGCAATCACCTTTGACACTACCTTTTCCTCTCACCTATAAATCCACCAAGTGCCAGGGATTTTTACCTCCTTAAAAATTTCTAAGACCCACCTCCTCTATTGGCTCCTACTGCCCTGTCTTAGCTCAAGGTCTCATCACCGTGTCCCCGGCCCAGCGCCCCGGGCTCCCCACTGCCCTCGCGCCTCTCACCTAGCCCTGTGCCTCTACTACCCTCTCCACCCGGGAGCTCAGTGGTGTTAGCCAAATGAAACTCCTGTCACATCACCTCCCCCCGCTGAAAGCCTAAAGCTGGTCAAGGTCTCCCACAGGGCCTCTAGGGTGAGGCCAAATGAGCTGCTCCCCCTGGGGTACCCACGGCTCCACCTCACTCCAGGCTGCCTCCCTGTCCAGTCCCATCCCCTGGCACATCCCACCCCACTCCCCATCCTCCAGCTCTGCTGATCTTCTAGACTCTTCTCTGAATGAGCCGTGCTCCCCTCCTTGACACACCTCCTGCCTTCTGCAGGAGTACACGGTTTTGCCACCTCCCGTCCCACGCTTGGAATCCTACACATCCTTCAAGGTCCAGCCCAAAGATGTGACCTCTCCCCACGGCAGCCAGCTCCCCACACTCAACTCTATCGCAGCGCTGACCCCCTGTGCTGCATTCCCACCTCTACTTCTATGGTCTCCCCCGGCGGACGCTACGTTCGTCGAGGACAGAGGCCATCTCCAGCTTCCCAGCACGCAGCGCAGGGCTGGCAGCGCAGGGCTCTGGGAACAAGCTCAGGGAGGGCGCCTGGGTGGCTCAGTTGGTTAAGCGACTGCCTTCGGCTCAGGTCATGATCCTGGAGTCCTGGGATCGAGTCCCGCATCGGGCTCCCTGCTCGGCGGGGAGTCTGCTTCTCCCTCTGACCCTCTTCCCTCTCGTGCTCTCTATCTCTCATTCTCTCTCAAATAAATAAATAAAATCTTTAAAAAAAAAAAAAAAAAAACAAGCTCAGGGAACAAGCTGCTGCCAAATGAGTCCCGTTCTAATGGCGTGCCCACTGAGCCCGCCTTTACCTCACAGTGCTCTTGACCCAGGAGAGCTAAGGATCACAGCCCCCACATTTAAAAAGAGGGAAGTGAACTCAGGAAGGCAAAGTGGCACTGCCACCACGATGAGGTCCGGACCCAAATCCCGATCCTTGGCTCGTCTTTCCACGTGACACTGTCTCAGCGGGACCTGTGCCTGTGCTCAGCTCTTTACTTGGGCCTCTTGATCGGGCTCAGCCTTCTTCAGATCAGCAGGTTTCAACAGGTACAGTTCGCAGACCACACACGCAAGTGACCTCGAGAATGCACCTTGATCATTACCACTGGGGAAAGTCAACCCCTCTCGGAGGTTCGCAGAGGTAAACCAGGCATCCCACTGCAACGGACGGCCAGGTCTGGGGCCCTGGGCCTATGTCCTCCTCTCTGGGATACAGGAGTTGTACCACTTGACAGCCCTGACAGGAATCCTGCAAGAGCCAATGGGGAGAACTTGGGAGACAGTTCCATTAAGGGTAGTAGGTGGAAACTGAGGCTGGGCAGGATTCTAGGACCCAGCGACAACACTGGCGACACCCCGGGAGCAGTGGGGGTGGGGACTAGACCTGCAGTCAGCAGGTCAAATGTACAGCAGGGTGACTACAGTTAACAACACCGTATTATAGGTCTTTCAGGTCTCTGAAAACAACCATGCCTGTTCTGAGCTATCCCAAGGTCCTTCTAGACTCAGGCTGGGTTTCTGGCTGAGGCATCAAAGATGTGTGATGTGAGGATCAGGTGTGGAAATAAACACGAGATGTCCTCTAAAAGCCTCTGTTCCCCTTAAAAATCCAGTACGTAGCCTACGTGATTTTCCCTAAACCCCGATGATTCCAGTTTCACCTCTGGGTAACAACTTCAACACATCACTCCTTGCTGCGTGAGTGGGTCTTCTACGTAACTAACTGCACCATTACCAGACCCCACACGCTGCTACCTCTGGGAGGAGCCGATGGACAAGGCCAGGTTCATGCACAGCACTGGTCATCACTGCTGGGACCGTCTCTTCTCCAGAAGTCCCTACAAGCCTTCTGAGGACCAGATGCCTCCCTTTCTGAGCCACACGGGGTCCTGGTTTGGAAGGCCACACCAATGCTGCAGTGCGATGTGTGCCCTCCCTGCCAAGTGCAAGCAAGGTGGGGTGGCAGGGGCAGCCGGGAGGAGCGAACCCAGGTTCTTCAAACTGGAATCCTGTTACTCATGGGAATAGGCTGTAAAGGGGTTAGGGGAACAGTAAACAGAAAGCTGAAATCTTTCTGTTGTCTCTGGCCTCTTGAGAGTCGGTAAAACCCTAAACATGATCTTGCTCTCTAAGGATTTCATTTACCTTCCTGGGGATCGGTAGTATCGAAAGACTCCAAGGACTGGTCAGAGGACATTAAGGGAGAGGTCGATAAGCTCGGAGAAAGATAAGCTGGGTTTAATTCTCTGCTCCACCACGTATTCTGTGATTGTAGGTAATTTATTTCTCCCTTCTGGGTCCCCGTTTCCTCAATTATAAATGGAGGCTGAACTTATCAGTACCTTTCAGGCTTTGTTCTCTTAGGTACCCCAGGAACCACTGGGCAAGAACGTGGTGGAGGGAGGGGCTGAGGGACGGGTCCCTCTCAGCACCAGGTCTGATTTTGTTTCCCATGTTGTGTTTCCAACCCAGATTCTGTCTCCAGAAAGGTTCAATTTCTAGAAGTCGGAAAGACTGAACTAACCTACTTGGTTCCTTCCCATTCTGGGACTGCCTCTGCAACATATGTCCTTGGCAGACCCACCAACAGAGCAGCATTGTTAGGGTTTCTGCCCTCCTACAGGCGTGTGGTTATGAACTCCCAGCACTAGATGGCAGAACACCAGCAGCGCAGGAACATAAATGCAGTGACCTGTGAGGCCTGCAGCTGAGATAGTTCTGGCTTCGCTCCACACAACAAAGGATGCAAGTATTCCCCCAGCCGTGGACCCAGGGGACAGCAAAGTGGCGACACTGGCAGAGACCTTAAGATGTAACTGGTCTCCTCTGACCCTTGCCAGAGGGCTGGAAGACCACACGTCAAGCCCCCCGACCCCCACCCCTACCGGGGTGTTGCCAATGTTGTCGCTGGGTCCGAGAATCCTGCCCAGCCTCAGTTTCCACCTACTACCCTTAATGGAACTATCTCCAAGTTCTCAACTTAAGATTGTTCATTGGGTAATCCCCTAATTCTGACTTCCAAGGAGAAGAAAATAAACTATAGCCTGAGCAGGACTCCTTTCTCTGTGGGCATCCAAGCTTGGGTTTGCAGGCCATCCTATCACCCCAGGCCAGAGACAGGGCTACTAAAATCTGCTGTTGCCTGTGGGAGGTAGCCTTACTATCTGCTGTGGGGCTCAGTCTATCAATGTATTTACTGATGTTATCTGAGCTATAACCGCAAGATACAGGGAGGTCACAGGGGCTCCTCCCAGGACTTCACGTCTTAGGGCTTTGTGAATCCATCAGCACAGGCGAAACCAGAGGGAAATACTCTGCTGCGTTGTGGGAACCAGAGGAGCTCGTTTTCTGGGGCTGTGCTCTAAGTCTTACGATGATTACCTAGGTGGTCTCTAACAAGGCATGATAATATATATTAATATCAGCTAACATTTATACAGCACTTACTACATGCCAGGCATTGTCCTAAGGGCTCTGACATGGGCATGTTCAAGCACACACGCTCAATACTCAATATACTGCCATCCATCTTACAGATGAGGAAACGGAAGTACACGGGACATGAAGTCACTTGTCACATGATGAACAAGGGGCCAACCTGGATCTGAAGCCAGGAGGCCGGATCCCAAGTCTGCACATCTAGCGACCCTGCCTCTCGGAAAATCACTCAGACTATCTCAGAACTGGAGAAGTTCCAAATTCCCAAAGGCTGCTCGTAATCACCTAAGGAACTTCAAGAGAACGTTACTCCTGCTCCCCAATATTTCCTGAATCCGAATCGTAGGGGGAGGAGATCGAATGTACAGGAGGGAGACTACAGTTAACAACACCACATTATATGCTTGAAAGTCATAAAGAGAGTAGATCTTAAATGTTCTTAACACACGCACGCAAACGGTAATTAAGTGAGGTGACGGAGGTATTCATTAACCTTATTGTGGTAACAATTCACAATATGTATGTGCATCAAACCATCAGGTTGTACACCTTAAACTTAACACAAAGTGCTATGTCTAATGGATCTCAATAAAGCTGGGAAGAAAGAAAACAACAAAACCCCAAATCTTGGGGGCAGGTGGTGCTGGGAGTCTGTATTTTCTCAAAGCCCACCTGATGATACTAACCTACAACCAAGGAGGGGCCCTGACCTGGACACCCCCTCCTTGTGATGCGAATCCCTTCCACAGTGCCCTTAGCAAGGAAAGCACCGCATCTGTGCTCTCAGGTCCCTTGAAGGATGGGGCTCCCCAGCTTTTAAAACAGCCTGGATTAAAAATGCTTCCTTGGCTCACGCTTCTATCTGTTTCCCTGAAGCTACCCTTAAAGCTGTTTCTACTGACTCCAATTCTACACCAGAAAACCACATTGAACATAACTGATCCCCACTCCCCTGTGCCCCACCTCCCAGAGCATGCCTGCCCTGCCCTTGGTCTTTGTCAGCCAGCAGATATCCCCACGCCCTCTCCTCGTCGAGCCTCCCTTAAGCCACTCCTTCTAGGATATGGTGTGGACACTTCCCTTCACCAAGCTAGTCTCCTTTCTCTGAATGAATCTGTGCTTCTTTTTCTCCTTTTTAAGGGGAAGCATCCAGAAATGAATTCGGGACTCCAGGAGTATAACTGAAATTTCCTCTTTGGGTTTTAGTCTCTGCAATTATAAAAAGGGAACACTACCTATCCCATCTACCTTACAAGGCATTAATGAGACTGGTACAGAATAATACACATAACAGAGCTCTGCAAAAATACACAAAAAGTCCCATCATATGTGGGCATACTATCTACCTCACCCAATCTCTCTACTACCATTCCGCATCACTAATAAACACCCAAATCAAAGCAAAATAACAAAATCCACTTCTCTGACCAGGAACCCCTCAGCTAGAATTCAAGACACCTGGGTTCTGTTCCCAACTGGCTGTGTGACCATGGGCAAAACAGTCCTTTGTAGGCTCTAGTGGGAATGAAGGGGCAAGCTTATCCTCCAGGGATCCAAGAACCCCAGTAAACACTAGTAATTTCAACTAGTTGTAGCAGCCACGAGCCAGGCTGTACAGCGCCTTACCAGTCCTTCTGTGACACATTCTGGTTGTAAATGTGCCCACTGATGTTTCTATATGGTGGACAGATGCATTTGCAACGAATATCTTCAGAGCTCTGGAAGAGAAAGTACATGGTAGGCAGGTAGGCAGGTAGGCAGGGCCCCTGGCTTCAGGTTCTAGCAAGACTTGTTCATACATGAATGCTCCTGACCTTTCCCATCCCCAAGTTCAGTAAGGAATGACTTCTGCAAAAATGATGTTAATATCACAGGATTCTCAAGACAGAAACTGTCCAGGTGGCAAATGAGAATCACAGAAAGCTGCCTAGGGCTGCCATTCCCCAGTAGGATGCTTGGGAGTGGGGGTGTGTGTAGCAAGCAAAGTGACAGCCCTCTACTCTGGGCCCCACACTTGCTGTGTGCACCTCTGCCCAGCAACCTTGATGGTGAGCCCCTTCCCACCCCCATCCCAACTCCAACTTCCTAGGTTAGGAATGGGGAAAGGTAAAGGGCAGGGGTACACAAAAAGTGGATCATTTCCATGGGAATACCCAAGCAATCCCTTAGAAAGTTCCTCCTCTCTAAAATGAGTAAGAGACACCACCACAAATATTTTCATTCCAATCAGGAATTCCCCAGAGAGGCTGGAATCAAACCCTCAGACTCAATCTCACTTAAAGCCTTGATGTCCTTCAGAATTTTAAATTCCATAGAGCTACCCAAGCCCAGTTCTGGGTCATTTACCCCTAAAGAATGGAAATTTCTCAGGAGTCCCAGCGCTTAGGTTGGTCACCCTCCGTGTAACAGAAACTTCCAGCTGTGCAGGACTTCACACTTAAGGAGCATTTCCACAAACTGTATTACTTGATTCTCCTTAAGTAGAGTAGTAGACATTATAAGCACTCCGATTTTACCCAGGAGCAAAGGAAGGTATGGGGAACTTAGATAACTCCTCCAAACACAAACTCCCTCGCTGGAATCTCATCTAGATTTCCACTCAGATCCAGAACGTGTGCTCTGTGCTCCACCCCTCTCCCTCACTCCACCCTTACGCGAGAAGGCCTGCAGTCTGGCGCCCGCGAGAACACTTCCCAAAACTACAGTCCATTGATGAGTGAGGGGCAGGGCTGCAGCAGCAGCTACCGCGGGGGGGGGGGGGGGGGGGGGGAGCCCTGTCCGCACGCAGGGTGGTCGTGCACGAGGTGCTGCTGGCTCACCTCCCTCACCTTGTTGGCTTGAGCTGGGGGCAACAGCAAGCACCCGACCACGGCCACCAAACATAGGAGCTTCATGCTGATCGGGCTTGGGAGGCCAGCCAGACCGGACACCTGCATAAGAGATGGAAGTCGGGAAGGCGAAGGGGGCCACACCATACCCCGCACTCTCGGCCCTTTAGCCCTGCCGACAGGACGTAGGAATGCGGTTAGGAGCTGGGTTCAGCATTCCAGGGCCTCCTAAAACCCTGTGGCCAAATACTGCCTTCCCTCTCCAAGTCTCCGGCTCTCCATCGCCCACCTGGGGCGCCCGGGAAGAGGGAGCCTCCCGGGGACTCCGCGGCCGGGGGCCTCGAGTTCCTAGGTCCAGGCCCGGCTCTAACCCTCGCCGCGCGTTTCACCGCCCTCCGCCATCTCCGCCTCCGCCCGCCCGCCCGCCTGCCTGGCAGCTCCTCCCCACTCAAGGCCAGATGAAAACTTTCGGTGTACAGGCTGGGAGCCCTGATCCGACCGCCAAGGCCAGTACCCACCTAATCAGGGGTCTCGGGCCGGCCTGGGACCCCCGGGTGCCCCAGAGACCCCCCTTACCCCTCCCCCAACGCCCGGTCCGCTAACCTGCGAGCCCCGCCGCAGTCGCAGAAGACCCAGCTGGTCCCGCCCCCTCCCGGCCTCTATTGGCTGCTGGAGCAGCCTCTCAACCCAACCTCGCTATCGCCAAGGTAACAAGGCCCACCTTCGCCTGGGCTTGGAGGCTCCCGCGCAAGGGAGAGGAAAGCATTTCTCAGACTCGACCAAACAAGAAAAGGGAGCGTCAACTTTCCTGACAGAAACAGGGAAGGGTCTTGCCTTTGTGTGGCCTGTAAAACTCCCACAGCAGTGCTTCGCCCCTCCTCGTATTACACAACTCGGGGGTCCGGAGAGGGGCTAAGTTTGTTTCATCTTGTAGTTTTATAAAGAGAAAGCACTCTGTACACAATAAGCTAGTAACAACAACAATAGCCTTAAAAACCCAGTAAGGGGCTTTGTCCTTACTCCCAGTCTGGAAATGTTAGTTAGGGATGCACATCTTGGCTGCACAGGACTTTACCAGGCCCCACCTCTGCTCTCCCCTCACCCAGCACCCTGAGGAGGAGAAGGAAACCGGCGGGCCAATGAGGTGGTGGGCTGGGCCTGGTGCACAGCCACTCTCACCCAGTCTCCCTGCGCCCAGCGCTTTCTGGACCTGGCAGACTGGGGCAAGGTGTGCAAGGCCAGCGTGGGGAGTGGGAAGCTGGTGGGGAGGGAAGGAAGTCTGGGGTGCTGAGGGGCAGGTGTGAACGTCTTGCAGCTGTGAAGGAAAGAGGAGCCCTTTGAGTCCAGGGTACCAGACGCAGAGAGAGGGGACACCTAAGCTTTGGCCCTGGCTTTGCCACTAAGCAGTTATGTTAGCCTGGAAAAGCCACCTCCCCTTTCTGGGCCTCAGTTTCCTTATCTATAAAATTGGTTGGTTGGATACTAAGGTCCCTTTCAGCTTTGAAATGTTGGGATTCCTGGGAGTGGCCCACACTTGCTGTTGGTGGCTGGAACCAGCATATGGGCTGGGCGTAGGCATAATTAAACCCCTCTCGGGCACTGTGGACGGCATCAGGCTCCTTCTGTGGAGGTAGTGGGGTTTATATTTGTTTCTCCTACACATGTCTTATGCCTCTTTAATTCCTCACCGCCTGGCAGACCACCCTACCCTTGGTGGGTGCTCAGGAAGCATGTGCTAAATGGAACTGGGTAGAATTAAATTAAACCTCATTGGACAGCAGGCAAGAGGCACAATGGTGTGACAAAGTCATAGCTCAGTGAGCTCAATGACTAGGGCACGAATCCTGGTTCCCCCCACCTTCCTTGTTGTGAGGATGTGGGTTGTTGGCTTCTCCTCTAGGGGAGCTTCAGTTTCCACATCCATAAAATGGGGCTAATATTACCTACCTTTCAGGGTTGTTATGAGGGTATAATGACTTGGAACAGTGGCTAGTACAAAGTGGGGGAGGGATCTATAAATGGAAATGTTAGCTCATTCTGGGGGTCAGAATGTCTGCTTTGGTGAATAGGCTGGGGCAGAGACAAGATGCCTGCCACATGGGAGCAGAAGGGACAGTTCAGGCCCTGGAAAAATACCCTCCTCCTCCCAATTCATCTGCTGTATGGAGATGAGGATCTTCACAGGGACAAAAGCAATGGGGCTGAGTCTCGGTCACCTCCAAGGCGTGCCCTTCTGATACCTAATACGAAAATTGCCCAGTGCTGAGTTCACCGTCTTGCTCATCTAATGAAAGCCAGGCTTCCATCATCCTGCTTTTCTCAGGCCCCAGATTGTGGTGTCAAATTATCTTTGACTCCACCACCTCCTTGTCTCCACATCTAGTCTGTCTAGGTGTCCCTGTGGGACAGCTATTATCCCCCTGCCTACATCCTGCCACAGCCACACTTTGCTCCCTGAAATATACTCCCTGTCCTCCTGCTTCCGTCCCGTCTTCCTCCAACTGTGTTTTCAGCATAACGCTCATTGCTCAGTAATCCCCCATAGCACCCTGTCGCATCAAATCCAGACCACTCCACCTGGCATCCAAGCCCTGACCGCCATTTCTGCCCTCCCCCACTCCATCACATCTCTGGTTACTGCCCCCCAGCTGGGCTTCCCATATTTGACTTGGCTCACACCTCACACCTTCCAACCGCTGCCCCAAGTGCTTCTCTTCCCCAGAAACTTTTCCCAGGGAGTTCGAGTTGACGCAGGGCGCCTCATCCCCACACATTCCTCCCTGTGCCCTTTGTTTAAGAACCAGACCATTGAGGTGAGTCTGAACCTATTTATTCAATTCAATTCCACAAACATGCCCTGAGCACTGTCAGGATGCCCCAGGGGATACAACAGACAAGCCAAATGTGAACCCTGCTTTCAAGAAGTGTATAGTCTCACAGAGGAAAAATCATACGGCCAGGATGTAACTTAAAATAGAAAGTGAGGTGTCATAGAAGAGTTGTTCCCCCTCAAAATATTGTTGAGCACTGTGTGCCAGGCAGTGTGCTAGTTGCCAGGGATATGTCAGTAAACAAGACCAACTCTGTCCCTGCTCTCATGGACCTTGAAGCTTATCACAGGAAAATGACCAATCCACACGTAATTACAATTCCAGGTGATAAGAGCTATGGTGGGGAAGATCTTCAGAGGCTGGTGGGAAACCTAGACCGAGGGCCAGAGGAGCCCAGAATGGTAGAGAGGAGTCTTTGAAGGTAGTGGGGGCTACTTGAGCTGGGCCAGAGTGGAAGGCAGAAGAGTGGCCTTGCCCAAAATGTCCACATCCGAATCCCTAGAACCCGTGACTAAGTTACCTCCCATGGCAAAAGGGATTTTGCAGATTTAGTTAAATGAAGGTTGTTGGGCTGGGGAGAGTAGCCTGGATTAGCCAGATGAGCCATATCTGGTCAGATGAGTCCTTAAAAGAGGGAAACCTTTTCTGGTTGTGGTCAGAGAAAAAGATGAGACAGTGGAAGCAGAGTTGGAGAAATTGAAGATGGAAGGGGCCGTGAGCCAAGGAATGAGGGCAACATCTGAAAGCTGGTAAGGGCAAGGATCAGATTCCCCTCCTTGAGCCTCCAGAAGGAACTTCATTTTAATTCAGGGATATCTGTGTAGACTTCTGACCTACAGAACTGTAAGATAATAAATTTGTGTTGTTTGAATCCACTAAATTCATGATAATTCCTTACAGCAGCAATAGAAAACTAATACGGCCAGGAGGATGGGCAAGATTTGGAACAGAATTCAAGAGCATGATGATGGTGGGAAAGGACATTCTGAGTAGAGGGGGTGTAGGAAGAGCAAAGAGATGGCACTGGGAACACACAGGAGGGGAAGAGCAAATGGTTGTTTGGCTCAAACTCGGGGCAAATGAATGGGAAGGGAGGGCAGAAAGATAAACCAGAACCTCATGACAGTGGAGGGTTGATGTGAGCCAGGGAATGAGCCCAGGCCCCTGGCTCGGGGGTCTCGGACAGGGCTAGGACCAGGCAACCTCAGGAATGTGCTCCCTCCAGCAGAATGAAGCTGAATGAAGCTCCGAGATTCCTGCTGCTTCCTCCTGGGACTATTGGTCTCCATCCTGCACCTGGCTCCCTACTCCCAGATTTGGAGCTCTGGGACTTAGACCACAGCCCAGACCCTTGGTTTCCCTCTCTGGTACCTGCCTTTACCCCAACGACCCTAATACCAGTTTGGCCTGAAAAGGCCGGGTCTTGGCATCTGTGCCAGGGCTGAAGTTCTGGGGTCCTCCTCACTCCCTGTGCCCACTCTTGGTTCTCCTGGGGAGGGCCTGGACTGCTGTCATCACCCCCAAACTGTGCCTACTCTCCTTGGCATCAGCTACATGGCCCCGCTCTTCCTCTACGCCCCAGCAAAGCTTATCTATCCTGTGCCTTACAGCCTCCAGCTCCTATGAGTGGATTAACTTCCCAATTGGTGTACCGGCACCCATGCTTTACTCCCCCCAGGGAATAGCTACACTAAAGCATCATCCAACCTAAGCAGAGAATAAAGCTCAAGGGCTAGAATTCAGACACTTGTAACAGGCTCCAAGGGGTGGTGATTGGTGATTTGGAGTACAGAGAAGCCCTACTTAGATCCACCTCTAATGGGAAGTCATCACTCTGCCCCTAGATGGCAGGTCAAGGGCCCAGGGATGTCCTTGAGATAGGGTGGGCACCATCCTCAGATACCCTGAGTAGGTCTGCTCTCTCTGACCACAGCAGGATTTCTCAGGTGTCAGGGAGCACAGAGCTGTGGGCAGAGGGCGCCCTGCTGCATAGCACACTCTCCGAGCTCAGCATCGGCCTGAACATGTGTACTCTCTTTGTCTGGGCCCCCAGAGTTGCCTTTTCACAGACAGGCTGCTCTCCCAAAACCAACCGACTAAGACGACACCAGTCAAAGAAGAATTATATTTAACTGAATAAAACTCTGAATGAAAGCATTATTCTATCTAAAGTGTAATATATGACATTAACTTTGCCCAGATACACACACACACACATACACACACACACACACGCATATGTATGTAGTACACACACATTTAAATTTAAAATTTAAATTCTGGACCCACTTTATTTTTTTTAATTTTATTCATTTATTTGACAGAGAGACACATAGCGAGAGGGGAACACAAGCAGGGCGAGTGGGAGAGGGAGAAGCAGGCGTCCCGTGGAGCAGGGAGCCCAATGCAGGGCTCGATCCCAGGACCCCAGGATCATGACCTGAGCCGAAGGCAGATGCTTAACGACTGAGCCACCCAGGCGCCCCTGGACCCACTTTATGGCAGGCGTTCTCCCAGCAGTTATTAATGAGGCACCATTCTGTGTGTGACCTTGCACTACGTGGTCCCTCCCCCTCTGTTGTATCTTTCTTGGCTCAGCTTCTGCCACCATATGTCCTCTTCTGGATTCAGTCTTGACAGCACCGCAGAAGTATAGAACAATAGTTCACTTTGGGTTTCAATTTTCTTTTTTTTTTTCAAAGATTTTATT